TGCTATTGTTTCAACAGTCCAAACATAAACAATGTCCATTGGAAGTCTGCAAGCAGTTATCAAGTGTATTCATGGCAATGTGTCAATCGCTTGAATTCATTGTCGCCCGACATTGTTGCCACTTATTGCTCACGATACGCAACTACAGTGGTTTCAATTTACAGCTGTATTTTTAATAATCGTCTTCCGATCACGAAAGAAAGAAGTAAATACGAACGAAATGTATATGCACAGAAAATAAACAAATATATTAGCAGATTGCATGTAAACTCGAACAAAAATTTAAATTCTAGCCGTATTTACAACGTTCGCTCGATTTTCATTGTGAAAACAGCATGGAGAAGGCAAACTGATGACCTTTTGGCCTACCCCATTCAACGACCGTCTGCCATCCACCGCTGTTGGCGCTGTAACGATTTAGTATCTAAGTTGCATAGGGGAACAGCGCATTCTGGGTGTTCGTGTACTGAATTCGGAAAGCGGTAATAAACATCAAACATGGCTGCTGGATTAGTTTACCGCGAGTATTTGTAATTGATAATATTTTAGTTATCTTTTCCACGTACTTTTTTCAATTTATCCATTTTTTATGTCTAATCTTTCGAGAACATAGCAGATTCTTTTATTTTGCCGATTGCTAGCATTTTTTCTTGAATTCCAAAACAACGTGTGAAAACGCAACGTATCGTGACCGTACATGCGTAAATGCATCTTACCGTCCGTCGGCACGGGTGAGTACTGAAGCCACAAATAAAAATGTTATGGGTTTTGTTTTGACAAATCGTCCGTTTTGGCTTTGGGGACAAATCACCTAGTATATTTTCTACATTATAACTCAATTATGTTTTGTACTTGCTCTTCGTTACTCGAATTGCATTTCATGAACGCAGAATAATTTGCGAACGTATAAATCACCGATTTCAAACTTTTTGCATTTCGTAAATATTGATATTGACCAATCTGTTTGTATTTCAAAAAATTGTAACATGTTTCAATTAAATTAAAAAGAGAATAGTAAATAACTTAGTGTGTATTGCAGGTTCATGACATAAATGCTAGAATGCTGTATGTAAATGATATGCAAATTAATATGCAAATTTATGCTAATTAGGGCCGCCCACCAGCTAATTTGGATTGTGGAGAACACTGGGTTATGCTAATTAGTCATCTAGCTCGCATTTTAATTTACATTCCAGTCAAACTGTACACAATATTTGTTCTATTAGAAACACATCTCGAATAGGAACATTCATTGTACAATGCACCGTTAACATATAACCTAAAAATAAAACAACAGATATTTTCCTCTCGTATACCTTCATCTATGTTGATATAGTTAAAAAATGTTTGAAAATCATGTTCACTTCGTAATTGGAAATCCTGATAGCTTTTCTTTGCAGAGAGGGTGAAAGTGGAACCATAGTAAAGTAGGAATCCATAGTTCCTACTAAATCGTCATATTCAATACTATGTTGTCATCACATCAGATACACGACAATCTGCTCAATATCATGAATGACATTATGGCTGTAACTTTTCTTGCTTCTTTTTCAATATATTCGTTAGAAAGAACTCGCCTATTGAAAAGTAATTTAAAAAAATATCCTACAATTAGTGCTAGATGTGACTGTGACTGAGGTCAGTAATGAATGTGAGTATGGCTGAAGTTTTTGCTTTATACCATTTCACTCTCATCTAAATGCCTTTTTGACTACGACACTTGAAACTGATTTCAGTCTTTTGTGCATAATATTGTATAGATGGATCCATTCTTACCTGCTTTATATGATGATCGAACTAGTGGTCCACTGGCCGTGTATGTAAATCCGAGTTCTTTTCCGAGCGATTCCCAATATTTAAACTTCTCTGGTGTTACATACTCCTTGACCTTCAAATGACGTTTTGTTGGCTGCATATATTGACCAATTGTTAGACAGTTTACATCAATGGCACGTAAATCTAATCAAAATAAGTAACATTTATTACTGCTATGTCTAAACAAAATATAAACAAAGCACAAATATTACAACCTTGCCATCACTTACAATGCATGATTCCAGAGAAAAAAATTCAGATACGTTATTTATGATTCAGTTTATATGAGAAACACTACAAATTTGTTGCTAAATAAAAATAATTCAGTTCAGATGGTGGTGGATGTGTAGGAGAGATAAAATACAAGTTATATTTTTCTTTTGTTTTTACTTAGGTAAAGTGGAGTTTGACAAACAGCAAAATCATTGTGGAAATAAAAATAATTTGATGAAACAGACCTGATAACTAACAATAGGTTGAGTTAAAACTATTTGGCATGTGGAAAAATCTCCCTAAAAAATTGGTTGATGAAAGAGAAAGATCTATGATGACAACAACACTGAAAAGAAAACCCACAAAAAACTTACAAGTCCTATGATCAAGAACAACTCACCTTTCATGGTTTGTACCATCTCATCATCTGTCTCACCAAGACCAACCATGATGGACGTCTTAGTAAGAATTTCGCTATTAACTTTTTTTACATGCTCTAACACACTCAAAGACTGTTTGTAGTTTGCTCTATAATCACGGACCAATCTGTAATGAACAAAAGATAAATACCATCATCCTCTAATAGCACAAAAGTACATTATACCACCTATGACACTTTGTGATTCCACAATGCTAACCTCTGGATCACAGAGACACAGATCACAGAGCATACACACAATTCTAAGAGAAACATCATCTACTAGAGAGGCAACTCTCATGGAGACAAATTTTCGTGAATTTCGAGTCATCAAAAATCACAGAATTTTCTAGCAGTGACAATTTATTTGGGTTCTATAACATGAAGTGTCAGTGAATTAACTGAATTTTGTCTTCACAAATACCATTAAAATCCTTAAATCATTAAAATATTTAGAATACACTTACGGTTGCAGAGCTTCCACTGTTTCAACATTATGTGCATAAACATTCAGACCAGATTTGGCAACAGTTGTGACTGACTCTAAATCACCACGGAAATCAGGAGTAAGACATTCAACTAAAATCTTGGGATTACTATTAAAAAGAAATACATAAAAGCACACATGAAATATTTCTCCTAGACCCATGGTACACTGAATATACCGGTATATGCTGTAATGCAGGCCTTGAACAGTTGAGAGGATACCCATTTTCAAGACCAAAATTTAAAAAGTGGTGGCAATGTAAACTCATTGGGCCTCAAGGTACTGGCTTTTGATGCCTTCGTGAAGGAATGATACGATGAACATCATGATATATGAATCTAAGGTATTGACCAGTCATGATAAACTGATAGTGTACT